CCCACCCAGAAGCCAGCCCCGTGGCTGCCATACCTGCCTTGAGCAGCAACTTCACACAGTCCAGGTGCTCCCTGGCACAGGCCACATGCAGGGGAGTCCCAAAGTGGCAGTCGTGAGCCTCCAGGTTGGCACCCACATCGATGAGGAGCTGCACACACTCTGAGCTACCTTTAGGATGGGGAGATCTGAGTCAGAAGGAAAATCCAGCTCACAGGGGAGCACATGGGGTGTTCAGATCAGGCTGACACACCAACAGCCTGCCTAACTAGCTAACAGGTCCTGCAGGGTGACAGGCCAACCCAACCTGAATTCAAGGGTTTGCACTAAGTAGCTGCTGTTTGTGGAGCTGGTTGTGCTGCTGATCCTGCTCTGGGTGCACTAAATCACCTCCAGGATCACTCCAGTTTTACTCCTGCCAGTGTTGATACAAGTTAGCAGAGAGTTAACCCCCTGCACCACGCCAGGGCTAGGAAGGAGGGGCTGGAAGAGTGGAGATCTTTAAGATCAAGTCCAACCATCCCCCAGCCCTGCCAGGTCCCCACTGCCCCGTGTCCCTCACCCCACATCTCCACGGCTTGGAAACCCCTCCAGGGGTGGGGACTCCACCACTGCCCTGGGCAGCCTGGCACAGGCCTCCACAGCCCTCCAGGGCAAGAAATTGTTCCTCAGGGGCAACTGAAACCTCCCCTGGGGCAACTTGAGGCCCTTTCCTCTCGTCCTGTCCCTTGTCCCTTGGGAGCAGAGCCCGACCCCCCCCTGGCTCCAGGCTCCTGTCAGGAGCTGTGCAGAGCCAGAAGGTCTCCCCTGAGCCTCCTTTGCTCCAGGCTCAGCACCCCCAGCTCCCTCAGCTTGGAATCTATTCCATCTCAATTTAGATCAGAGAGACAGAATGCAAACACCCCTCTGCTCACAACAGCAAAGCTGCTGCCTTGGCTCAAGGTTTGCTAACAGAGCATTAAGAAGTTGGCATTTTACCAGCCTAACATCTTACCCCATGTCTACCACGTGGGACAAAAGCACCCAACACAAGGGACACCTTTATTCACCCAACACCAGTTTTGAATCTGGTGTTGAACAGATGTGACCACAGAGGGCTGAAAGATCTGCAAGCTTATATTTGGGTCTTTTTTCCCCCCCAAACTGCAAATAACTGTGCCAAGAGAAGCCCCCATGGGCTTACCATTCATGCAGGCCTCATGGAGAGGTGAGGCTGTGTAGAGGGGAGGGTTGACCTTGGCACCATGGGACAGCAGGACCCTGACACAGTCGATGCTGCCCGAGGCGCAGGCGTCGCAGAGCGGGGGGCTGCCGTCGATGTTCCTGGCATCCACCTGCAGAGCAGAGGGGCTGTGAGCCAGGGG